AGTTAGCCTATGCCCCTTGCTCAAGTTCCTAGTCTATATTTGGGGAAAGTTATTTAGACACTTTGACAGACACTTTACATCTTGGAGATGCAGTGTAATGGGCAATCCCCCTTGGAGCTGGGGAAGAAATGTGCGCCAGCCTAGCAAAGGATAGCACATTTTTTAAAAGTGTGATTTAGAAGTCATGCAGACTTGCCACCAGGGATCCAAAGTTGGCAAATCCCCCAAATTCAGTTCTCTTCTCCTCTCTGCTTTTCTTCCCTGGTCTCCATTTTGTAGCTTCCTTTCTTGATTCTGTATGATTGTCTCACCCACTTGGAACAGGACACATACATGCTTTGATAAATGGCCTGAAGAGGGATCTAGTTTCTCTCCATGGTCCTTTAAGGTCTCCAGTCTTAACATGATTTGGTAAACCTTTCTGACAGAGCATAAAGCTGGAGAAAGTATCTTGCTGAGAGGTTAAGAGTGACTATCCTTCATTTTTCTTTAATTAAGTAGGCCTCCTGGATCCCGAAATAGAGTGTGCATCTTCTAAACCCTCATGTCTGAGAACTTTAAGAAAACTTTACTGCTGGATGGCAAAGCCCTTAAGTAAAGAGGACACCAAGTGGAGGAATTTCATGATATATGTATATTCTTCTTAGCCTTAATTGTCTACTTGACTCAGCTTAGTGTCACCTGAAAGGAAAGCCCTGGTGGAGGAATTGCCTATGTCAGTTTGGCCTGTGAGCATGTCTGATGGGAACTGTCTTAGCTGCCCACTGTGGGCAGCACCATTCCCTAGGCAGGGGTGGAGTGGTGAGCAGTGGTGGTGCGGGCTGTATAGGAAAGATAGTTAATCACAATTCTACCTTACCCAGCATGCAGCTTGCTTTCTTCTATGGTTTCTGCTTTGAGTTTCTGCTCTGATGGCAGTCAATTATGAACTGTGACCTGGAAGTTGAAATAAGTCATTCTCCCCATGACAAGCTTTTAGTCACAGTGTCTGTCATAGCAACAAGATGGAACCAGAACAACATGCATACAAAGAGACTCATACAAATAAGCTGGGCCTAGCAAAACACTGAAGCTCACTTTGGAATCCGATTACATGTGGTCCTCCCTAGTGATGTGAACCTTTCCTGAAAAGCCAATAAAACGATTGAAGTTCCACCAAGGTGCTTCAGTTATGATCTGAGGAGATATAATATCTCAATATATCCTTGTGTAAATCTGGTCATCTGCAGTTCCCCAGTGATGACCTTAATACCTAACAGATATTCCTATGTAGGAACCATGTGTCATCAACCACGATACAACCTTATGTCTTCTCTGAGTCAACATCCCTGTCTCCACTAAGGATGTCCATCTGTGAGAGACAGCTTTTGTCACGTGCTACATGATTGACATGATGCACAGGTCGCTTCGTATGCCAGCATGCCTTGCTCATGTTGGCAACTTAAGTTCTATTCTCTGGGGCCTGACTCGCTTCCTGCTGGCCTGGTATTCTGCGAATGCCCCCATGGAAGTTATTTCCTATGTGCAGCCACAGTGGAGTCGCACTTCCCACAGGAAAGATGAGTTGTAAAGCTAGACATGCCAAGACATATTTCATGGTGATGCTTTCATTTTGAGACTAGAATTTGTCTAGTCTCACGATAGAAGTCTTCATGATAGAAGTACTAAGAAATGGGGGAAAATGGAACCTAGGGAGATGGAGAGATGGCTCAGTGGGTAAAGAGCTCACCATACAAGCATGAGGACCTGAGTTCGGATCCCTAGCACCCATGTGAATGTCAGGCAGGTGCAGCAGCTCATGATCTCAGTGGCCAGGAGGTAGAATTGGACACCAAAGGCCGATCCTGGTTAACTAGATTAGTGAGTCATCAAGCTAGAGTTCAAGTAAGATACTCTGTTTCAGTAGATTAGGTTAAAAATGATAGACTAAAATGCCTTACATCAACTTCCGGCTTACACACACATACACACACACACACGTGCTTAAACCATGCACATACATGCAAGCATACATAGACTATCATGTACACACCCTATAAGCACATGAGCACATAGGTCTGGAAAGATGGTTCAGTGGTCAAGGGCATGTACTGATCTTGCTTAGTTCACCTCCCAGAACCCATGTTGGTTGTGGCTCACAAGAGCCTACAACTCCATGCTCAAAGGATCAGACCCCTTCATCCGGCCTCCACAGACACCTGCACACATGTGACCATATCTCCAGGCAGAAACACATGCAGAAATGAAATTTAAAAGAACCATAAATCTTTTAAAAAGATATGGAAATAAAGATACAATTGCATGGTGTGCTTGCATCATGAGACCCATCCCAAGCCCTGCAAAGAAAAAGAAATGGACAACTTTATCTGTGTTACCAGTAGACTGAAACAGATTGAGGGGGACACTGCCATGGGATGCCACATGGGGATGCTCAGCCTGCAGGTAGGATTGCAGGTCCAGAGCACTGGGGCAGTTAAAGTCTGGAGATTCTGAGGCTCTCTCCATAATGAGGCCTGATAGACTAGCAAGATCAAAAAAGGGGAAGGAAGGAGGAAGGAAGGAAAGAGAGAGAGAGAGAGACAGAGACAGAGACAGAGAGAAAGAAAGAGACTTGAAGAATTAGTTCAGTCAAACAACATGTCCTTAAAGGACTCTGGAAGTATTTGGACTGAACCAAGGAAAGAGAGAAGCTGTCCAAAGTGAAGAGCTCAGGGTGCCCCAGTGGTACCAGGGCCACAGAAGGAACCTATATCCAGTAAGTGCAAGGAATGCCTGAAGTTGGCTTAAGGGTTGGGATTTTAGAGACAATTATTTATCTTGAAAAGATTACTGTCTTTTGAAAGCAATGGAGTCAGGAGCTGAGCTGTAGCCGTAGCATGAGTTAGACTAAAACCATTCTACACTAGTATTCTTTGTTCAGATAGCTGGGTGCTGAGGCCGCTCCATGCCTGAGGTGCTAAATCTTCATAGTAAAGTTTTGATGTAAATACTGAACTAGCCCATCACACACACACACCACTCTTGTAGCCTCTTCTTCAAGGCAGAGATTATTATCCATGTAGATAGGAGAAGACTCAGGCACAGAGGTCTGAACAACTTTCTCAGGTCCATGCAGTTCACCAGGCTTTGTGCCCAGGCAACTTAACCTGAGCAGCTGTATGGCAGCTTGGTTTATAATATGGATGAAAGTGTGATTGTGTTAGCATGGATGGGATGAGAGGCACCTGCTTGAAAATATGGGTCATAAATACTGGCGTATGCAAGAGGAAATGAGAGTACCGGTGTCAGGATTGAAGGCAAGAGGGGATGTAGGGATTGTGCCACATGTAGTTTCAAAACTAGGAGGACCCCAACCTGTAATTGGTGTATGTGTATGCGGCGTGCGTGCACTCATGCATGCATGTACGCATGCATGTGCTCGTTAGCTTGCTTCCTTTGGACACAGACTGAGAAGAGGGTGCCATGTGGTTGGGTATTTTCCAATAGATCCATGTAGGGAGATACCTGTGCAGCCACTGAGATGAAGAGGAGCACACTAGGGATCATGGGCAAGGAGGAGATGCAAAAGCAAACCGGTGCTTCCTGTCTTTGCTCATCCCTTCTTTCCGTTCTTTCCAGTCGTTACACTCTCCGTGGGGAGGGCAAATACAGATGCACATCTGTTCAATCTGTGCTTGAGTCAGGCTGAGGAGATAACCCGGCAGTGGCATGTGTTTGTGCCTCCCCTGCCGGAAAAGTAGGGACACGAGGAATTTGGAGACTCATTGGCTAGGTGGTCCAACCAAACTGGCAGCTTCCAGGTAAACAAGAAAACTTTTTCTCTAAAATCAAGATGAGAACAGCTAAGAAAGATGTCTAATCTTCAGAAGCACACACATATGCATGAGCACACACACATACATATACATGCACAAACACATGCATATACAGTCATATACAAACACACATGCACACATACAAACCACATGTACATACATGCACAGACACATATGCACACACACATGAATGTATAAGCACAGATAATAAAGTGTTTGGACGGTATAATCTCTCACCAGTATTGCTACCTTGAGACAATAATATATTCTCTGAGGTACTGAAGGCTTAGCCAATGAGGGTTTATAAAAAGTGGGATGACCTTTTGTGAAAGAATGGTAACACTCTCTACCATTTGAATCAAAGATTTTCAGCAGGAGAAAACCAGAGGAAGCACATGCATTGTATTCCTGAAACTTCTTTAACTTGTAGGACTCACCTAGTAAGAAGTTTCTCCTTGGTTATGGATGTCAGTAGACAAAAGACATTTTTATGTCTATGTGTACTTTGCATTGCCAAACAAATCTGACACATCTCCCGTGAAGCCTGGTTAATTCAATGCCTCCCTATGTGATGCTTCCATTTGAGACAGGTGTCTTAATTAAATAAACTAATAATTTTACAAGTAGAAGCACAAAAGCATAATTATCCAATTTGCTAATTGTTCCATTGTGTGAATTTGCATACATCTTGCTTACCACACAGTTTGTCTTTGTGTATCCTACCACTGAAATAGCAGAGCCCCACTTGGGAGGAGCATTTTCTAAAGTGTGCTAACAAGCACTGTACGGGGGCTCCTCCGTTAAATCTGGTTGAAAATGGCCAGGCTCAGGCAAATTGGATCATGTTTGTTTCTGTGGGCGGTCCAGGCCCTGTAATGACGCGTTCTGCAGGTATGGGCTGCTCTGCGTGATGACCACCAAATACTGTTTTAGCACTGTCCTGGCAATGAGTGGGTGGGAGGCTTTTGCCCATGAGTTCCCCTTCTATACTCCGCAAGCATTTTCTCACTGGGACTGTGAGAGCTATGAGTCGTGGGTTTGCATCTCTCCGTCACTGTATCTCTCTGTGCTTTTTTCTTTTTCTCTCTGTCTCTTTCTCACTTCTCACCCCCACATACTCATGGGGAGCTCTCTGTAGATGCTCCAGCAAACATTTAAACCTTTTGTGTCCCCCTTTTATCCTAGGCATACTGAGAGGACTGCATCCCTTCCAGAGCTATGCAGCGACTCTGACGCCTTGTTCTCGGGCAGGCTGTGCAGAGAGCGCACAGGCATTGAGCATCCCCACTCCACAAGAAGGTAAAGTAATTTCAAAGGTCTCGACTTCCACATTTCAGTCATGAATAATAAAATAGGAGAAGAGCTAAATGCTGCGAGGCCATTTGCTGGAAAACCCCGACCTAATTTGATGACAAAGTGCATTGCCAGGCCATAATTGCTCCCATTTTTTTGGGGGGGTGCGAAAATGAATCAAACCCCATAGCCTTTAATGACATGCATCTTTAATAGCTGTAATGCAGATTAATGGGCTTTTTAATTGCTGTTACATTGTTCATGCAAGAGCCTTGTCATTAATATGAAGCATCTGAAAGATTAATGAAAGCGTCCTCATTTTACTATGGCTCAGAAGTAAATCTAGAGACAGTCTGACTAAAAAGAATTGATTGTGTGGTACAGTATGAAATTGAGAATCAAATGGTTGATTTCCATGGTCTCTTTCAGCTGCTAAACACCAGTGTGGGCAACCATGAATTCAGGAGGACAGAACCTCCAGATGCTGGTTAAGGCACAATCGATCACCACTTCCCCCCTTTTTCCTTACTTGAGCCTCACTACATGAGATGCACAAACTGTTGGTCTAAATTAACATTTCAGAAAACATGCACTGGGGAAGAGGAAACATTTCAGAACTCCAAACTCATCTCTTCAAGAGATGCCAGCTCTCAGAATGCAGAAAGAGTGGTTGCTTTGTATTTCTGTTTGCTGTAAGCTGCCTGGTAGGAAAGTTATTTAGATTTGAAAGCTTGGTCGCTATAGCAAAAGTTAGCCAGCAAAGGCATGCTCACTTGGGCAAATGCTCTCTCTCCCTCTCCTTTTCTTCCCTCCTTCCACTCTCTTTCTTTCTTTCCCTTCTTCCCTCCCTCCCTCTCTTCCCCAAAACCTCCTTTTGCCCTTTTCACCTTTGATATCATTTTGCAAACACCATTTGCATAGGAGGCAGTTAAAAGAGAGACACACAGAGAGAGAGAAGGCGGACAGAAGCCAATATGATGGCACAGTGATGAGACAAAGGGTTTTGTAAAATCCTTCTTGAGACCCTTTATTCTCTGTTCTATGCCTTCTGTAGACCAGAGTGCAGTCCCTCATCTGTGCTGCCAGTAAGACATCCTCATCCTAAATCATCCCGTAGTCTCTCCCTATGTGAGATTGCATTTTCTGTGGTACACCATTATCCCCAATCTAGTCTACTGAGATGGCATCGTCTCTCTCAGCGTGAGATTGTGTTTTCTGGGGTACACCACTATTACCCTGTTTTATACTCATTTCCACCAGCCTTTGTGGGAATTTTCACATTGCTTCCTCTCCACCTCCTTGTCGTGACTTTGCCTGGTGCCCCTCACACCTACTTCCCAACCATTTCACCAAGCGATCGCCCGCTCATCGGGTTCAGTGCCCTTGTCATCATGTGTACGTTTCCCAAATCTCTTTTCCAAGGCGCCATGTCTCATAGACAGAATGATATTTCTGTTTCCGGTTAGTTTTTGTTTTGTTTTGTCTTTAATTTTCCATGATTTCAATTCATTGGCTAGTGTGTAAATATATTTTTTCAACAACTACAGTGTAGTTTCAATATGCAATTAATTTAGCTGTCCACGTTCTGACCACTCCTGTAGCTGGAGAGTTCTTTAAACATTCTAATACGAAAACACTCACCGTGTGGCCCATTTCAAATCCTGTGCCCTGACAAGCCGGCACACAGTTTCATCTGCTTTAACAGGCTCAGCCCCAGGAGGACACGATGGGTGAACCATACTTTTGATGAAGTAACACACATATCAGTCAAGTGAACTAGAGTCAGGACTTCGCATCCAGCAGAGATGTGAGTCCTCAGGAATTCAGGACAGTTCTTTAGCGCTGCTCCTAAAGCAATCACTGACAAGCGGCCTACAAGTCAAGAACACTTCTGTGCATGGGACTACAGCTTCAGCCCATGGTTTACTAGTTTGGGTCTGAAAAGTTTGACTTAGAAAGTAAACTAAAATTAGACTATTTTATTTTCCCACAGCACCCCAAGAGGTTCAGACACCAGTGGCCTTGTCCTTTTCCAATTCCTTGTCGTTGTCCTGAAGTCTACCCAAACATGCAAATGGGATTGTTACAGAGTACTCCTTAGACATGGATGTTCTCATCCTGGTCTACACAGGCGAAGGACAGAACTACACCATCACAGGTACTACACTGTAGCTGTCAGGTAATAGATGCGTATGTGTGTTTTCTAGATGACCACTGCAGATATTTCTCTGAATCAGGTGAGTGATTATCACCTCCTTGGGATATCAAGGGAATCTTGGTACTTAACTAGCTCAGACCTTTCTGGATTCTACAGACCACGTGTTTGAAGCTGAGTATCAGTGTGGCCCCCCCATGCACATGGACTCTGTGAGCTGACTAAATTGGATACATCCTTCAAGGTCCCCATGATCTCAGGTCTAACTATTTGAAACCTGCCTGCCTGGGGAATGATTGGAGAGGCCGATAGATGGCTCAATGTGCTACAAATCTTAAACCGTTTGAGAAGAGACAGATAGGTCTGGATTATATGACACCAAAGCAAACATGGAATTGCCAGAAGTTTCTTAAATGGCAAGAGGCTCATGGGTGTGCCTTCCGGTATTACAGCCACCTAGCCGTTACCCATGCTAGTTTTGCGTTTCTAGTGTTGCCTGTCTGTGTCGGTCTCCCAGGGAGATAGCATTACTCAAACGCTGATTGATTTGAAAGCTTGAGTCCCAGAGATCCTAGGGTTTGTGGAAGGTTATAACAAGTTAGAGTCAAAAGCAAGGTTATTTATTCAAGGGTTCACCCATTCACCTGAATGCCAGGTACTTGGATGACAAAGGGACCCAGCGTGCTCCTCCTTGTCTGCTGTCCCTGGCTTCCTGGGACACTGTCAGATACCAGCACAAGGCATTGCTGGGCAGTTGTGGTCTCCTTTAGATTTTCACCTCCTCTTTAGTCTGAGACTATAAAGTGGACAAGAATAATGACTTTTGTATTTCACCCAGGATTATATTGATATCTTTGATATTTATTCCACAAGGTAGATGCTACCCACACTTTATAGGTGAGGAAACTGAGATTTGACAGGAGCAAGGTGGCAGAGCCTGTGAGTGACAGACGTTGGTACTGACCTAGGCATCCTAGCTAGTTGAGGAGCATGGGCTTACGTGATATCTTCTCTGAGTCTGAATTCCTGAATCTGTAACTTGAGAACGATGAGACATCTCCACGGTCAGCTTGACCGGATTTAGAATCACCGAGGTGACACAGCTCTCGGTGTATCTGTGAAGGCTTGAGGAGAAACCTAACTGAGAGAGGAAAAGCAAACACAAATGTAGGTTTGAGATGTGTCCCATAGGCGAACAACCCAGACTCAATAAAAAACAAGAGAGAAAAAGTCATCCTGCCTTCCTCTCTGTTTCCTGATGTCAGCAAAAGCTGCCTAACATTCCATCTTCCATGCTACCCCTGCGGTGGTGACCTGTCCACCCCATCATCCATGCCACCCCTGCGGTGATGACCTGCCCACCCCATCATCCATGCTGCCCCTGCAGTGGTAACCAGTCCACCCCGTGCACCCACGCTGCCCCTGCAGTGGTGACCTATCCACCCCATCATCCATGCTACCCCTGCGGTGGTGACCTGTCCACCCCATCATCCATGCTGGCCCTGTGGTGGTGACCTGCCCACCCCGTGCACCCACGCTGCCCCTGCAGTGATGACCTGTCCACCTCATCATCCATGCTGGCCCTTCAGTGGTGACCTGTCCACCCCGTGCACCCACGCTGCCCCTGCAGTGATGACCTGTCCACCCCATCATCCATGCTGGCCCTGCAGTGGTGACCTGTCCACCCCATGCACCCACGCTGCCCCTGCAGTGATGACCTGTCCACCCCATCATCCATGCTGGCCCTGCGGTGGTGACCTGTCCACCCCATCATCCATGCCACCCCTGCGGTGATGACCTGCCCACCCCATCATCCATGCTGCCCCTGCAGTGGTAACCAGTCCACCCCGTGCACCCACGCTGCCCCTGCAGTGGTGACCTATCCACACCATGCATCCACGCCGCCTCTGTAGTGATGACCTATCCACCCCATGCATCCATGCTGCCCCTGCAGTGATGACCTGTCCACCCCGTGCACCCACGCTGCCCCTGTGGTGGTGACTTGTCCACCCCGTGCACCCACGCTGCCCCTGCAGTGGTGACCTGTCCCCCCCATCAATGAGCCAAGATAAACTCTTTCCTCCTTAAGATACTTTTATCAGGAATTTATCTCAGAATGGGAAATGAAACTAACTCAGTAGGAATATTACATTTTAACATTATAAAGGAAACAAATGGTATAAAACATATTAAGACATTGTTTCTTTTTCGTAGAGCAAGCTTGTAATTATGCCTATAGGTCTATGCCTACAGTCCTTGCTCAAGCAGAGAGATTGAGGTTCAAGGCCAGTCTCTTACATGGGAAGTTTGAGGCCTTCCTGGGCTATATATCTAGAGACCCTGTCTCAAAAATCTTATAAAAAAAAATAAGAGGCATAATTATCATTTCCTTAAGATAGAGTTTATATTACAAATTAAATAATAGAATAATCATAAGATTGATTTGATGATGGTACTAGATTCATCCCCTCTTCCTTACCCACCCAGATTTGTTGAATGGCTCTGTCTCTTGTAAACCTTCAAAACCAGTTTTTGCTCTTTCTGGATGTGTGGACTTCTACTGGAATATGGCCGACTAACCAGAGCCCCCACTCTTGGAGGAAGCTCTCTCTCCCTCTCCCAGAGGTATCAGTTGCCAACAGCTATTGGGTTGGGATAGGGTAACATGCTCTCTTCCCTCTTTATGTTATGATTTTGTCTAGCTTGGGCTTGCACAGACTTTGAGCATGCTGGGAAGTTGCTATGAGTTCCTCTGTGCAGAGGCCCTGCTGTGTCCAGTAGAAAATGTGTCCTTGTAGTCATCCACCACCTCTGGTATTACGTTTTTTCTCTCCCTTCCTCAGAAATGATCCCTGAGCCTCGAGAGGAGGGATGAAGTGTGTGTCCCATCAGAGCTAAGCACAATACAGTCTTATTTTCTGAACATGGGCAGGTCGTAGGTTTCTGTGCGAATCGCCATCTGCAGACAGGTTTCTCAGGTGTGGTATTAGAGAGGCATTGGTCTGTGGGTAGAACGATAGACCATTAGAAGCTGGTTAGTGCTCTATCAATAGTGAGAGGTTCCCCTAAGGCTGGTGACCTGTCTGACCATAGGTTCTTCACCCGAGAAAGCCATTGGGAATGGGGTTCATCTTAAGGAGTAGCATACTTTTGGCTGCATCCAAGAAACATGCCTCACAGTCAACACTAGACTCTACCTTAGGGAAATTTTTTTGTAAGAGTAGTCTAAAACAATGGAGACAAGCAGGTGTCACTATTGCAATACATGACAAAATTGTCTCCAACCAAAAACAAAAACAAGCAAACAACAACAACAACAACAAAAAGCCTCAGAAGAGATGAGGAAAGTCGCTTTATATTCCTCTAATCTTACAGTTAGCAAAGCTGAGGCACAGCTAGATCAAGAAGTCAGAATCACTTAAACCAAATTAAATGTGGATCTACTTGGGACCAAAGTACATGCCTAGCAAGTGAGGTAGTCAGAAGAGGGTGTTGGATCCTCTGGAAATCGAGTTACAGATGGTTGCAAGCCATCGTATAGGTACTGGGAATTGAACCCAGGTCCTTTGAAAGAGCAACAAGCACTCTTCACTCCTGAACATCTCTCTTGCACCCTGTTTCAGAACATTTTAATAATGTATTTCACCTAGGAGATTTATAAGAACACATACAACCATATAAACATTTGTCTTTTTAAAAACTGTTGTGATAAATATTGTATGTAAATATTGATTTGCTATGATTTAAAATGGAAACAAGTGAATCAAAGGTCATTGACAATTTCATACTTCTGTGCAATGTACTGTGTTCACCCTCGCCCCTGCTGCCTGCCGACTTCCTTCTTCCTCCTCTCTTACTTTTACGTCTTCCCTTTGGCTTTTTACTTTTGCAAACTTGATCTATATCGTCCCTTGATATCCAGAGAATTTACCAGGAGGAAATATTTTTTCAAATTTTTGATATGTTTTACTAACAGAAAACATTTGAAATTTATTTTTGTTTGTGACATCTGGTTCCACCAACTGCATTTCTGCATGATTATTAGACTTCTGTGCTTTACTTCAAAATACCCAGTTATACTTGATGAGCAGAAACTTGAATAGGGCAAGGAAAGATTTTGAAATTTCACCCAGAACACTGGCTCATCCTGTTTCCTTGGCCAGGGTCAATGGCTCTTTAAACCCATTTGCTTTCAGCTATATTAAGAACTCCATGACATGATGTAATGCCCCTTGTTAACCATTCATAGTGCCAGCCCTTGCCCCTCCTCCTCCGCTTGTCTGTGGCTTCTCTTACACTCGTCAGTTGAACAGGTGTTCCCATTGTGCATAGGGAATGGGCCTAGCTGGCAAGGGAGATTGAGGTTGAGGCAGGGCATCCCATCCAGTAGCCACTTAGCCTCTGGGTGCTCTGAATTTTTTTTCTTCTTCCCCTTAAATATGAAACATTCAAAGTCAGATGCATTGCTGCTCCTTAGGTCAGTACAAACTATATTTAAAAATGCGCACAGTTCGAATTTTTGCCTTGCATAGGCCATGGGCTCGTGGTGCACTGGGTCAGTTCTGACACTGAAAAATGAATCCAGTTAGGGAACCTCCCGAAGGCTGTTGATGTTTGCTATAATAAATAGCGCACACTTTAAGTCAAACTTTTTCATTCCGTATTCAAAGGTAATGGATTTTTCGTAACCATAGTAACCTTGGTGTATTTCTGGATAAATACATGAGGTATATACATTCTAGTTTTAGTTTTGAATATAAACTACCACATTATGTATTACTAATAATATGAAAAATAGGATGTAGGTTAGTGTAATGACAGCTTAAACTAGTATGCATTTTTCTTCTGCAAAAAATAAATATTTATCAAAAGTAAGGGTTCAATTAATTTCCCCCCAGTTTTGTGGTGTTCTGGGGGTGCCATTTGTCTTTCCTGCAAGATATCCATTAATCTCCTATTTCTGTCCCATGACAGATTTTTTAAAAGGAATTTTGAGTTAAAAG